ACATTAGTGATCATGGCTTCAGCCTCTAGGCTCTGAACTCTGAATCTATTTCCTAAAGCTCTCTACTTTTTCCTCTCTAGGGATACTTCCCACAGCCCATGCCTTTGTCCAAGCTTTAGGTCACTTAATTCCATAGTTCCTTTTTTGGTTCAATATTATATTTTACTTGAATCTGTTTCTGTGAAGCACTTTTAAAATATTATTCTATGTTTAAGGTGCTACATAAATGCAAATTTCTGCTGTTTAAAATTTCTATTAAATTTCATTTTCAACACCCACTCAATCAGCTTTCGATCCCCATTATCTCATTCACCACTGTTCAGGTACTCTAATTATAACAGTAATATTTTATACAGGCTTTTCCTTTGGCTTTATCTACCATTTTCAAGAAATTGCATAATTAATCCTTTCTAATTTCTCCTCCGAAAATGTATTATTTCTGATGCCTTTATGTTAAACTACATCTGCCCCTGTCAGTCACTTCACTGCTCATCATGTTTATGTCCTTCTGAATTTTTTAAAGTTTTTGTCACTGCTTTCCCAATATTCCACTTTTATGTTATCATCAAATTTTGAAAATTTTCCAAGCGCAAAACAGTATTACTATAAATCTATTAATTCCTTCAAAGGTCCTACTGATGCTTAACTACAGTATAGGAAATAAAATCAGGAACTTTTGGCTGTTTTTGCTTTCCATTTATAATCTGTAGAGGAATGTTATGACTCGTGCTTAAAAGTTCATTACGGATTCCTTATGGTACTCTTAACAGGTAGCCCATTTTGTTTCAACATTAAAAACAAATTGATCACCATAGATTTATAATAGATATTGATGTGACAACTGATTAAATACACAACAGATTCAATGAATAAAAGAATAAATATAATTACAGAGCTCAAAGAGCAGCTTTTGTACAGATATCTTTTAAATGATAATTCCTTTAAATTACACAGATTGATTTGATTTGTTAGGAGTATCTTGTGCTTTCTGTTACCTGGGAAATCTTGCTGGAAATCTGATAATTCTACACTTTGCTATGGATTAACAGTTCTTATTCTTGTTATATTGGAATATGTATTGGATCTTTGTGCAATAAAACCTGTATAGGTAGATAGACATTGTCTGCAGGAAATACTCATTTGTCTTTAATGACTATCTTATTTTTCCGTTAATGTGCAGATTTCATGATGCAAAAGAATAGCTCATTCTAATCAGTTGCAATACAAATTCACAGTAGCTACTCTACAGCTCTGCCATCAGGAAATAAGTAATCAGCAGTGAAAACATTTGAACACTTGAGAGTAATCTTATCTGTGAAAACATAGTAATACACAAATCAGATGGTCCTGATCGATCCACACACACAGATTGTAAATTCGAATCCAATGTATCCAGTTCTACATTTGGCTATTATAGTATCTTACTGTTTGCAAGCATTGAATACAATCTTTTACTTGATTCAATTCTTCCATTTTCAATTTCCCAGGATTTTAAAAATACAACTCATCATTTTTCGTCTGATATTAATGTGTGTCGAATGGCTTTTTTATATAAATTCTGATTATACTGAATTTCAGCAACATGCAAAATATAAATAATTCATTGATTCATCTCAAAACATCAAGACACAAAAAGCCTGCCAAACACTGGAAGCTCTCTGTAGCTCAAAGCACGGAAATGCACACTTTTTTTTCCAGATTTTCTGAGTGGATGGAGGAAAAAAAATTCTACTTTAGGCAGATAGCATTCAGCAGGTCAGAGATAAGGATAGTACCCAGAGTGATTAGTAACTACTCTCTTTAAAACATATCGTTAAAAATTAATCTGCAGGAACATGAAATACAGAATAATAACACAATCAATGGGATCAAACAGAATTATTAATACATCAACTGAATCAATTCTGTATTGCCGCCTGCCTAGTATGTTAGTAATTATATAAAACGTGTCACACAGTAATGATGAGATTAAGATCAGGCGCGCTCCCAGAGAGAGTTCTGGTTCTTTTATGATTCAAATCCCAACATTATTTTACATCCTTATTTGAGCAGTGAAGTTAAATAATTTTATGAAAATTAAGATGAGACAAAGCCATTTAAGCAAAAAAAAGTGAAAGGTTATCACTTGTAAAACTTCTATAACTTCCTGTTCAATCTTCAAATGTAAAAATAACAGTTTACAATTGTAAAAATACACCTCCTGGATCGAAATTCTCAGGAGAAATTGGTCTTCCTCAGCACTGGAAACAGGGTTTGATTGCACTGGCCTCTTGTTACATTCCCACTTGAAATTCCGCTCCAATTATGCCAAGGAAACTGAATATTGGATGGGCCAATTAGCAGGCAGCCGATATGCTACTGAAGATGAATTTCTGCACCACCATATTATACAAGCACCACGGAACTCAGGTAGTTTTACAGAATTATTTGGTTTACAGTAGTGTTATTTACAGAGGACGTAAAGTACAAACAACAGAATATCTGTTGCATTGACTGCACCCCTTTGATACAGGCTGTCATCACCCTTTCCAAGGTCTACCTTTCAAACACTCGTGGATTTCAAGCCCAATGGAAGTTCAATGGTTACGACGTCGTGTCCTCTTTGATTCCTGCTGCCTGCTGCAATCAGTGCTGATGTACAGTTTGTGCAGTCTTTTGTCATCATCAATACTGAAGGGAATGAGGCAGCCCGGAAACCACAAAGTTTAACACACAGAACAAGTTTTGGATTGAGCCTTTTCTGCGGCGGCGGCGGCGGCAGCAGCAGCTAAATGGAGAGGCAACGGAAGAGAATAAAATAATACGAGGTCAAGCAATGAGAGAGGATAACCAGTTTTGAACAAAACGAAATGTTAGTGCTTCGAGGAGCAGTAAGGTGTGAAAGGAGCCTTAGGGACTGATGTGCCATTATCATCACGTTCTTGGTATCCTCATATTGCTGCATTGCCCAGATTCTTTTTTTTGTGTATCCTCATGATTTTTGAGTCTTAATGTCCAATTTTTTTTTAGTGGGATGTTGGTGTCTTGGGCAAGACAAGTTTTTATTGCTGTCAAACTGAACGTCGCTCTGCCATTTCAGATGTCAGTTAAGAATCAATCACATTGCCATAAGCCTGGAGTTACATGTAGCCAAATAAGGATAGGATGGCTGATTTCCACACAGATAGAACATTAAGAAACCAGATGGACTTTCACAACAATCACTGATATTTCTGAAGTCATCAGTGTAGTATATAGACTCACAGCAAAGTGGTTACCCTTGAATGCTCTCTGAAACGTCTAACAAGACAATCAATTTAGGGACAAATACGGATGGGGATTAAATGCTGGTCTTGCCAGCGAAGTCTGAATTTTATGAAAGAACAAAAGCCAAAAAATATTTATCCACACCATCTTCCTACAACCTGTGCAAGTAGGGGTGCATTTCAATATAATTTATATATTTTCAAAAGTACAATCAGTTCCAGAACAAACAGATGTCTTGTGGTGGAGTGGGTACCATCCCTACTGCTGAGCAAGGAATTCTGCGTTCAAGTTTCATCTCAGGATTTGATGGCCAAGGAAGGTGCATTCATAGTGTGGCCAAACAGGATGAGTAGCAACATGCAAACCTACCATCTTCAGTTGCTTCATCGATGACCATCCTCCCTATCATAAGGTCAAAAGTGGGAAAGTCCGCTGATGATTGCACAATGTTCAGCACCATTTGTGACTGCCCAGTTACTGAAGCAGTCTATGTTGATATGCAACAAGACCTGCACAACATCCAGGCTTGAGCTGATAAGTGGCCATTCACATTCATGCTACACAAATGCCAGATAATAACCATCTACTACAAGACAGAATCTGCCAAACTTGCTTTGATGTTCAACATCAGGGGGAGGTTATAATTGACCAGAAACTGAACTGGAGCAGCCATGCGAATGCTCTAGCAATACGAGCAGGTCAGAGGTTGTGAACAATGTGACAGGTAAATGACCTCCTAACTACATAAATCATGTCTACAGTTATTTACAAGGCCCAAGTCAGGAGTGTGATGGAATTTCACAGCTTGCCTGAATGTGTGCAGTTCTAACAACACTCAAGAAGTCAATACCATCCATAACAAAGCAGCCCACTTGACTGGCACACCATCCACCTGCTTCAACATTCTCTCCCTCTACCACTGGCACACAGTGACAGGAGTGTGAAGCATCTGCAGCTACTCACCAATAATTCTTCGACAGCATCTTCCAAAACATGCAACCTCTACCAGCTGGAAGGACAAGGGTAGAAGGTGCTGGGAATAGCTGCCTGCAATTCTGCTCAACATCACACATCAGGCTAACTTGGAACTCTAATGCTGTTTCTTCACCGTGGTGAAGTCAAAATCCTGGAACTCCCTCCTTACAGTACATTGGGTGTCACAACACCACATGGTCTGCGACAGTTTGAGAAGGTGGCTACCACCACTTCCCAAGAGCAATTAGGGATGGACATTAAATGCTGGCTTAGCAAGTGACCCCCATATGCCTTGAAATAATTTTTAAAAATATACCTAAACATATGGTATTGGTTTCAGTAAGAGGAGGAGAGATTCCATGTCATGATGGAAAGAATGGTGGACCCTCAACCGTCACTATCTACATAGCCACCCTATATTAAAAAATGTTGCTACATCAACATGGACTCTCAGAGTAAAGTGTAACATACCACCCCCACTATCACAGAACAAACATGCTAAATGCAGTATTAAGGACAAAATGTAAAAACAACAAAGAAAGCTTCAGTAAATTAAACTGCTTCTAGGACTATGATGACTTTCACTTCACTTAGGGACTAATAATTTTGTATAAAAGTGAGCAGACTTTCATATCGTTACTCTGAAACATGAGTTTAAGAACGCAAGGGCCAATGAATAACCCAGACGCTCTCTGAAACAACTTCTGGAATGAAAATACATGGAGGCCTAAGGTTTTCCCATGTCTGATTACTCCCCGAAGCTGTAAAGCGTTTTCCCCCTAACCTTTCTTCGCTGCGAGTTCTTCTTCTTGCTTCTGCTTTGCTTCTTGCAAAGCTTTCACCTTCATCTCATGTTCATCAGCAAGTTGCTTCCATTCTTTTCTGTTGTTGAGTATACCATCAAGCATTGGTGTGATCGTCTCATGAAAACGAGAGAATTCCTGAAAGAAAGCAAGTGCGGCCATAAAACTAGATTGGTACTACAGCACCTGACTAACAATTGTATTGAGATTTCTTTTTAAAAACATTAATCTTGTAAGAATCTGAAATATTGAAATTGAGAAAAATGTCTTCCTTGTTGAAACACTGTATTCGTTCAATCAGATTATTCTTAAAATTTGCATGGACAAAGTTACCTATGCTTCATATTTTTTCAATATTGAAAATAGATAAATCAAATATTTTCCTGTGTTATTTTGAACACATCAGCAAATAAAACAATTGAAAATGTTCAAATTAGTTCCTCACACTCACTCCAAAATAAACCATAGTTTTACAGAGATGTTTTGAGTAAAATATATGAGTTTAGACTGTGGTTTTGCCATAATATTAGAGCATGGTGCTATTAATCATCATTTCTGCTAAGAAAAAGTAGCTTAGAGTCATAGAATCCCTACAGTGCAGATACAGGCCATTCAGCCCACACCCACCCTTCAAAGAGCATCCCACCATCTCCCAGAATCCCACATTTACCATAGGTAACTCACCTAGCCTACACATCCCTGGATACTATGGGAGAATTTAGCATGGTCAATCCACCTAACCTGCACATCTTTGAACTGTGGGAGGAAACCGACATATCTGGAGGAAACCTACGCAGGGACAGCGAAAATGTGCAAACTCCACACAGACAGTCGCCTGAGGCTGGAATCAAACCTGGGTCCCTGGTGCTGTGAGGCAGCAGTGCTAACCATTGTGCAGCTTGGCTGGTGACCAGAAGGGCCCTCCCTGTCAGCTTCTTCAAGTTGCCTGAGGTAGGGAAGAAACCAAAGCAAGTCTACAAAGACTTACAGTGGTTTTGTTGAAGTTCATTTTCAGAACTTTGTGCTCTACAAGCTATTCCCAGGGAAGCACACAGAGATAAATAACAACTTCCAGTAGAACTCATCAACTCAGTGAAAACATGTTCTTTCATTGCCTGAAACTTGCTTGGTTTTCCAGTGCAAAGAGTGGCCGATGACCAAGTGTTGCAGCCTGACACAGTCAAAGGTCTAGGACTCTGTGTTGAAAGACACACTAAAGCATGGAGTAGCTGCTGCAAAGGTTCAATGGGAAGGCCCATTCCCCAAGCCCTCTCTGTCCCTGTAGTACACTGAGAGATTGGAACCATATAAAACTCCTTTAGCTATGAAATAAATACTATAATTGTAAATTATAAATACAGCGAAGCAGCTCAGAGCGTCACACACTGTCGTGAAAACAAACTGTTTTGCACTTTTGACCTGTTATGTGACGTACCTGTACCAAGTTTATGAAAAAAGTTTTGTTTGGCATAAAGAAGTAAATTATTTGGTTTGCTTATGATCAGTGGTGTTACATTGTCCTGAGGTACTGCAATGGAGCAGATGTGCCAGTACCAGTCCATATTAACACCATTCACAGTATTTTGTCGACATGATTAGTTAGATCACCCGAAGTTAAAATTGCTGTTGTGGGATTTTTTGGCATGGCATTAGTGTCACCGCCACTGATCCAGAAGACCCAAGTTCAAATCCCACTTGTCCGTGAGTGTGTCTAAAATGTTTGATTAAAAGATATAGCTTCTCGAATGATGCAATTGGTCTGTATGTGTTACTCATACAACACTACACAGGTGATTGAAATGCGAGGGTTGTGAGTTCAAACCTCACTTGTAATGGTTTTGTGGTACTGTGCTAGTATCTAGGCCAGAAGACCTATGTTCAACAGGATCAAAACATTGAATGTTCTCAAGATGGCATTTGATATAATTCTTAGTGCTAAAGGCATCGAAGGCTATGGGGAGAAAGTGGGAATTGGATTAGAATTGGAGTATTGAGTTGGATGATCAGCCATGAATGGTGGAGCTGGCTCGAAGGGCTGAATGGCCTACTCCTGCCCCTATTTTATATGTATCAATCCCATCAGTCCTATTGTATCTGAACAGATTGATTGAAAGTATCAAGGGCAACACATCTAAATGAATGGAGCTGCATCTGTGATTAAACTAACTATTGCAAAATGTCAATCTATATTTCTGATGCCAGAAAGCGGCTTCAAGATTTTAAATGAACTCACTTCCAAACATTGCTTATTGACGATGAATTGTCAATAATTGATTTTGAACAGAATTTAAATGTTTCGATTCACACCTGAACCAAAAGCTTCAAAATCTCCCCTTCCCCGACTGCATCCCAAAACCAGCCCAGCTCGTCCCCGCCTCCCTAACCTGTCCATCCACTCCTTCCACCTCAAGCCCCACCCCCATCTCCTACCTACTAGCCTCATCCTGCCTCCTTGACCTGTCTGTCCTCCCTGAACTGACCTATTCCCACCCTAACTCCCCACCTACACTCACATTTACTGGCTCCATCCCCACCTCTTTGACCTGAGTGTCTTTTCTCCACCGATCTGCTCCTTTATCCATCTTCCATCCACCTCCCCCTATCACTCTATTTATTTCAGAATCCCCTTCCCCTCCCCCATCTCTGAAGAAGGGTCCAGACCCGAAACGTCAGCCTTCCTGCTCCTCTGATGCTGCTTGGCCTGCTGTGTTCATCCAGCTCTACACCTTGTTATCTCAGATTCTCCAGCATTGGCAGTCCCCACTATCTCCGAATCAAAAGCTGAATGTTTGCCTTTTAACATCTAGAATACATTGCGCCCATTAGAAAAGTACATTTGTTTAAGGCAGTAATTAGAAAGGAATCATTAAAGTAATGACAAATTATTTTCAATTCAAGCTCCTTAGATGTTACAAGAGAAATGATACTGTGAATCATAAAGCATATTTGAAATGTATACCTTGTAGACAAACGTGCACACAAAGTCAATGAAACCAACTTGAAGTTTGGGGAGTTCATCTGCTTTGTTCCTGTCCATCATTGGCTGGGATTTGAATTAATAAAAAGGGAAAAAGTTATAACCTGTGAGCATTGAAGACAGAAGAGTTATGTTACTTGGAATCCATGAAACACATTGCACTGGATTTAGTCATCATGGCCAGGTCCTGTTAATAGGCCAGAAACCAAGTGGCAATCCCCCTTTGCAGTCTGCTGCAGAGAAGATGGCACCTTGTCAGTGGCAGACTCCATGATCACAGTTGCCTTCCCCCCGGAGCTGCCAGGTAATCAAAGGGCCATTAGCCTCAACAGTACCACTGGGTATGATGGCCACTGCTGGAACTGCACCTGGAAGAACAGGACACAACCGAAGGTTTGACACGCTCACAGTAGTAGGTCGGGGATGGTGAGGCAAGCCATGGCAAGAAGGTTGGAGGAGGGTGTTGCTGGTGATGCCAAGTGACACATTGCAGTAGGGGCTGCTGGAGATCTCTGCACGGGGGTGCTAAACAATAGCTGAACAGGAAGTACTCACTTACCAACCTCCTGATTTAATGTTAGGATGCTAACTATGGTGCTAACAGGCCTTTGAATTAATTGTCTGCTGGGCAGGAGGACCTGTGAGCTTTCTCACACCACTTCACAGGGCCCATCTTTCTACCACCGTTGTCCAGGCTGACGCCACAGGACTGGTAAAACCCAATCCATTATTTCTAATCCCAGTCAATAGATATTCAATAATTATGTAACTTAAATCGTTTCTGACTTGACATAAGTCTGGACTGAAACTTGGATTCGGGCTCTTGGCTTCAAAGGAAAGATGGTTTAGGCCATGATCTGTAAGAAGTCTTTAAAATGATGAAGGGATTTGAAAAGGGAAATATTCAAAACGGGTTATAACCATAAGGTTTCATAAGAGAATTCAAGTGAGACTTCTTTAGGTAGACATCTCTTAGAATGTGAGACTTGCTGCCAGATGGGGTGCTTGACACAATCAGTATGGATCAGTGCCAGGGACGGCAGTGGTGGGGATGCATCTGGGCCTGGGGATAGGAAAGGCCTGTGTCTTAGGCCTAGGGGCAGGGCCACTGGCGCTCTGCTTGGGTCAGAGGTAAGGCCACTAGGTTCAGGTTGGGGCAGGGGTGCTCTGCTTGGGTCAAAGACCGCACTCAGCTCAAGAAGCAGCACAAGGGACTGTGCTTTCTGTCCCTGGTCTAGATGCACCTGAGGGAAAATTATATGAGTAGGTAAGGGAGAAAGGACAACAATGTATACTGACAGAGTGAAATGAAGGAGGATGGAAAGAAACTCGTGTGGATTCAACCAGTACAGACCAGATGGGCTGAATGATCATATTATGCTGTTATGCTGAAGAGCTTGGGCATTGCTTCTTACTTACAATGGGATTCTGTTGTAAGACAGTTCTTTCCAAGTCACCCTGTTCCCAGAATTCAGCTGCGACTAACAGAGCCACCTACAAAACAACACTCTGTGTCAGTACATCTCTGAAAAGATCCAACACGATAAATACATTTACCTTCTTTTTCCACCTCAGCAGTGCTTTCCCTTGCTTTGCTTTCTGTTCTAGTCTGAACCAAGCCTGTATAATGATGGGTAATTTGATAGTGGGAACTAAGGACAATGCCAATCCTGCTCTCATTCATGGGTAGTTACTAGTTAGCAATCAGGAGTGGAATAATTGGCTGACTGGTGCCCCTCTTCCAACTGAAACCACCTGCATTACTGCTTGTATTTTTCTTGGTGAGATTAGCTACTGTTGGACTGACCAAATTTTAACAAAAAGCTGAAGATTGGGAGGCGGTGGTGTAGTGGTAATAACATTAATCCAGAGACCCAGGTTAATGATCTGGGGAACATAACTCTGTCCTCTCCACAGATGTTACCAGACCTACTGTGTGTCTCCAGCATTCACCGTTTGTGTTTCAGAATTCCAGCATCTGAAGTATTTTGCTTTTATTCTGATGTTCTGAGGACAAGGGTTCAAATTGTCCTGTGGTAAGGTGAGGTAACTTAAAAGAGAAAGTCTTGCAACACAGTGGTTGTGCGCCTACCTCTGGGCCAGAAGAGCTGGGTTCAAGTTCCAACAGGCCATGATATTTGTCATTATGTACCTAAACAGGTTGATTAAAATAACTACAGTTTGATGACTCCGTGGTGTGTTTTTTCAGGTTTTTTTTTTAAGTTTCCCTCATTTTCAGCCCTCCCCAGTTTATGCCTCAGAACAAAATACAGCAAACAACCTACTCCCAGACCACAGTAATACTACATTTTAAGTGAGATGCAAGAGAACTGATTGGAGTGATTGGTCTTCTGATCTTTACTCCTAATGAACAAATTCAATCCTTCCCCATCCTTGCAACCACAACATTTGATGTGGGCATTATTGGCAAGGTTAGCATTTATTGACCATCCATGATTGCCCTTGAGAAGATGAAGAGTCACTTTCTTCACCACATTTGAGTTTTCAGTAAAACTTTGGGACAAATGAGCCACTTCAGAGGGCAGGTGAGAGTTGATCTCATTGCCTAGCAGGTTGCAAAGTGTTCTACAAAGTAAGCTTGAGGTTTAAGAAACTAACAGAGTTTAGCCATTGAGGGATCCTTGTACTCAAGGACGAAAGCACCAACAATAATAGGACTGCAGGTTCATGTTGGATGAAGGTGTTAATGAATATGTGAGTTACATTACCAAGCAGAAGCCTTACATTAATGGGAGGTGTCTTCTGCCTAATTCCCCTTTATTGTCCCTCACAGTTTGCATCTACGCTGACACGTGTTGTAATTCAAAGCCCTTCACTCCTCTCACTGCAGTAGACCATTTCTGCCTGTGATAGGTGATGGGTACCCGAAGAATCAATGATTAAGCTGCACTGCTTCAAACGGATTGGTGCTTTCTGCCACCCTCCCTCTTACTAAATACCCAGCGTTTGTTGTGGACTATTGAAATATTATGTTTCAATCTTATTTAATCATGAAATGACGATATTTTAAGGAGGTTCTAAGGACATAAGTTTTCTATCCCTCTTTCAAATATTGACCAAGCCCTGTCTATGAATAAGCAATTAACCCTCAACCTGTCAACTATTTTGTGATGCATTGGCAAAGAGATTGCAAAACATAAAGATGCAAATTCAGATGCATGGCCTGGCTTTGCAGTTACACAATGGCTTCTTCATTCATGTAAAACATCAGATACAATAATGCCCCACGTCATGACAGGCCCATTATAGATGCAGATATCAACAATTACAAGCAGCTTCCAATCAGGTGGCCATCAGAGTGAGTTCTGGAAAGTATGAAAAGTTGTTTCATCTGAGAACTCACCTTACTCTGAACCTCCCAGGGTTTAGCAATTGCCGATAAGTCACACCCTGTCATCATCATGGCCCTGAATGTGACAAGAGCAAGATTAAAGGTCAGTGATTTATTTCCATAGGGTTGGACCATCATTACACTGGAATCCAGCTACGATTCCTCAATCACCAGTGCAGTGATTGTATAGAATATGATTTATAGAGTTATAGAGTCACACAGCACAGAAACAGAACCTTCGGTCCAAACAGTCCATGCTGAACATAATCCCAAATTCAACTAATCCCACCTGCCTGCTCCTGGCCCATATCCATCCGAACCTTTCCTACTCATGTATTTATCCAAATGTCTTTTAAATGTTATAATTTTATCCACATCCACCACTTCCTCAGGAAGTTTTTTCCACGTACCTTCTGTGTAAAAAAGTGGTCCCTCGTGTCTTTTTTAAACCTCTCTCCTCTCACCTTAAAAATGTGCCCCCTAGTCTTGAGAACCCCCATCCAAGAGAAAAGACAACTACTGTTAACTTTATCTATATACCGCATTATTTTATTAACTTCTATAAGGTTGCCTCTGATCCTCCTACACTACGGTAAAAAAAGTCCTAGCCTATCCAGCTTTTCCTTATAATTCAAACCTTCCATATCTGGCAAAATCCTGGTAAATCTCTTCTGAACCCTCTCCAACTTAATAATATCCTTCTGATAACAGCGAACAGAATTGGACACAGTATTCCAGAAGAGGCCTCACCAATGTCCTGTACAACCTCAACATGACTTCCCAATTCCTATACTCAAAGGATTGTGCAATGAAGACAAGTGTGCCAAATGTCTTTTTAATCACACGGTCTATATGTGACGCAAACTGCAAAGAATTATGTACCTGAACCCCTCGGTCCCTCTGTTCTACAACACTACCCAAGGCCCTACCATTAATTATATAACCCCTACCCTTGTTTGTTGTACCAAAATGCCATACGTTGCGTTTATCTAGATTGAACTCCATCTGCCATTTTTAGCCCATTGATCCATTTGATCAAGATCCCTTCGTAATCTTAGAAAACCTTCTTCACTGTCTACTATGTAACCAATTTGGATGTTGCCTGCAAACTTACTAACCATACCTGATCCAATCAGGCAGCCTGGCTAACAGATATAAACAAGGGTCTCAGAGCTCTGTTCACTCCGAGATCTGGCTCAGAGGAAGCCAGGCCAGTGTCAAGTGCTATACATATGTGAATAAAAGGTGACTTGGTGACAGACTACTAGCCTCTGTCGAATTATTTCGGAAGTGAAGAGAGAAAATAAATATGCTCCTGAAGAAATTTGCATTTTATGGGATGTAAGCATCACTGGCTGGCCAGCATTTGTTGCCCATCCTTAGTTGCCCTTGATAAGGTGGTGGTGGGCAGCCTTCTTGAACCACTACAGTCCACCTGCTGTGGGTTTAGCCACAATGCCATTGGGAGGGAATTCCAGGATTTTGACCCAGTGACAGTGAAGGAGCAGTGATATATTTCCAAGTCAGGATGGTGAATGGCTTGGAGGGGAACCTGAATGTGATGGTGTTCCCATATATCTGCTGCCATTGTCCTTCTTGATGGAAGTGGTCATGTATTTAGAAGCTGCTGTCTGAAGATCTTTGGTGAATTTCTGCAGTGCATTTTGTAGATAGTACACACTGCTGCTACTGAGGGTTGCTGGTGGAGGGAGTGGACGCTTGTGAATGTAGTGCCAATCAAGTGGGCTGCTTTGTTCTGGATAGTGTCAAGCTGCTTGACTGTTGTTGGGGCTGCACTTATCCAGGCAAGTGGGGAGTATTCCATCACATTCCTGGCTTGTGACTTGTAAATGAGGGACAGGCTTTGGGGAGTCAGGATGTGAGTTACTCGCCACAATATTCCTAGCTTCTGACGTGCTGTTATAGCCGTTGTGTCTATGTGGTGAGTCCAGTTGAGTTCCTGATCAATGGTAACTCCCAGGATGTTGATAGTGGGGGATTCAGTGATGGTAACACCATTGAATATCAAGGGGCGGTGGTTAGATTGTCTCTTATTGGTAAAGGTCATAGCTTGGCATATGTTTGGGGTGAATGTCACTTGCCACCTGTCAGCCCAAGCCTGGATACTGTCCAGATCTTGTTGCATTTGGATATAGACTGCTTCAGTATCTGAGGATGGTGATGGATGGTGCTGAACCTTGTGCGATTGTTGGTGAACGTCCCCACTTTTGACCTTATGATGGAGAGAAGATCATTGATGAAGCAGCTGAAGATGGTTGGGCCAAGAACTCTACCCTGAGGAACTCCTGCAGAGATGTCCTGGAGCTGAGATGACTGACCTCTAACAATCACAACCACCTTCCTACGTGTCAGGTATGATTCTAACTGTCGGAGAGTTTGTCCCCGATACCAATTGATTCCAGTTTTGCTAGGGCTCCTTCATGCCACATGCAGTCGAATGTAGCCTTGCTATCAAGAGCTGTCACTCTTACCTCACCTCACCTCTCGAATTCAGCTCTTTTGTCCATGTTTGAACAAAGGCTGTAATGAGGTCAGCAGCTGAGTGGCCCTGGCAAAACCCAAACTGGGCGTCACTGAGCAGGTTATTTCTGAGCAGGTGCTGCTTGATAGCACTGTTGATGACACCTTCCGTCACTTTACTGGTTGAAAGTAGACTGATGGGGCGGTAAGTGGCCGAGTTGGATTTGTCCTGCTTTTCAAGTACAGGACAGACTTGGGCAGTTATCCACAGTAGTGTTGTAGAACAGAGGGACCTAGGGGTTCAGGTACATCATTCTTCAAAGTTTGCATCACATAAAGACAGGGTGGTTAAAAAGGCATTTGGCACGCTTGCCTTCATTGCTCAGTTCTTTGTGTATAGGAGTTGAAAAGTCATGTTGAGGTTGAACAGGACTTTGGTGAGGCTGCTTCTGGAATACTGTAGCCAGTTCCAGTCGCCCAGTCATAGGAAGGAGATTATTAAGCTGGAGAGAGTTCAGAAGATATTTACCAGGATGATGCCGGATATGGAAGGTTTGAGTTATAAGAAAAGGCTGGAAAGGCTGGGACGTTTCTCAGTAGAGTGTGGAGGTTGACAGGTGACATGATAGAAGTTTATAAAATGAGAGCTATAGATAGAGATAATGGTAGTTGTCTTTTCCCTAGGATGGAAGATTTTAAGATTGGAGGCACATTTTTAAGGTGAGAAGAGAGAGATTTAAAAAAGACAAGAGGTAAATTTTTTAGAGGGTCGTTCACATGTGGAATGAACTTCCTGAGGAAGAGGTGGATGTGGTACAATTACAACATTTAAAAGACATTTGGATAGGTATGTGAATAGGAAAGGTTTGGAGGAATATGGGACAGGAGCAGGTACTTGGGATTAGTTCAGTTTGAGATTATGTTTAGCATGGGCTGATTGGACCTAAGGGTCTGTTTCCATTTTGCATGACTCTGTGATTCTATGACTTAAAGGGGGAGGGATGTAGCAATGGTAATGAGGTCAGCCAGGTGGATCTCATAGAATGAGTTCCCTAATTGGTCCAGATTAACAGCCCCAATCAGGGAGCCCTGGTGGACAGATAAACAGGTGTCTCAGAGGTTCTGTTCACTCTGAGAGCTGGCTCTGAAGAAGCTGGACCAGTGTCAAGCGCTACACATGTGTGAATAAAGGGTGACTTGGTGGCAGGATGCCGACCTCTATGGAGTTTTCAACCAGCAGCATCTTTTATAAGATATTAAAAGGCTTTGCTTACATGACAATCTCTTTCTTGGTCGTTTCCAGTGACATATATTCCACCCAGGCTGTCTCTTCCTCATAGGTTTTGGACAGGTCGACAATCTTTTGAAACATTGTTCTTTTTCTGTAAGAGTGAAAAGAAAAAAAAAACCTGTGACTTACATAAGTGCCTTTACAATGAACCTCACCTACCCTCCAATAAGATAAGGTCCATTCTCTGACAAACTGAACTCTGTAACCTGGCCTCCTCTCTGAATTACTTTATTGGAAATTTCTGCCTTTGATAATGTGGTTCTGATTTTTCTTCTCCATAAAATGACTGCATTCTCTCAAAACCAGCTGTGTAAAAATTGGAGACAGCGAAAAGCATACATTTTTAGAATGTACTATGATTTTTTGTTTACTTTATTCAATTCTAATAAACTTACCTGCACAAAATTGTCCAAGTGCAGTATGGCAAGGGACTTTTCTCTACCAACGTAGTAAAGTCCAAAATCTAGTGAGATCTCAGCCCAGATGCTGCTGGTTTGAGAGAATGTACCCATACTGCTTTATTGATAAACAATGCTTGCAGTAACTGGTTATTTCAGAGGTAGTCTTGGGAATATTAGATATGCACATGAGGGAGAAAGGAATAGAAAATTATGCTGATAGGGTTAGATAAATAGGGATGTAAGGATGTTTAAATGGAGTATAGACATCAGCTGGCTTGAATATCACATTTCTGTGCTGTTAGTTTCACATAGTAATAGATAATACTGTAAGGTTGCAAGAGTATAATCCTACAGACAACAAATTCAAGGTGCAAATCAAGGTTTTTTATACATGTATTTTACATCAGGGAGATGAACATCCATATTTACGAGGATTTTAACTTTGCTAGGACAACGGCACATTTTAATTATACCATCATTTCAAAGAATAAAGAGGTTCCCTGAGTGAATGAGAATGATTGTGAAAACACGACATTTATGTGCAACACAGTGTGGAGCTGGAGGAACACAGCAGGCCAGGCAGCATCCGAGGAGCAGGGAGGTTTTCTGAAGAAGGGTCCTGACCTGAAACGTCAACTTTCCTGCTCCTCTGATGCTGCCTAACCTGCTGTGTTCCTCCAGCTCCACACTGTATTGTCTCTGACTCCAGCATCTGCAGTTCTTGCTATCTCCGAGTGATTTACAACATTTAGGTGGTCTCCTGTGCTCTAAATTTAAGCTGCTTCCATGAAGTCCTGTGACTATCTGTGGCGACAGTGTCAAGAACAGACAGATAGCATAGCGAGATAAGTGGAGGACTCCTCAAAGACTGTTGAACTTTTAACTTATTCCTTTATTTTCCTAGTTTAAACTACGAAAGACTTCAATATTAACTAATACCTGATTTCTTTATTTTTCTACTTATTCTATGAAGTAATGCTTAACTTTTTAACTCCCGTTTCTCTACTTTGTACCTAGGCTTTTTGTGCCTAGCTACCTTGGTACCTAAGATGGTGCCATCTGTGGTGACATTATACACTTTTCACTGTGCTGCTGTACTTGAGTACACATGACTATAAAATCCAAATCTAATTAAATGATAATGCCAAGTGAAGAGTAATGATGAACTTAAAAGTCGTCCAGCCCAACTATTGTCACGTGGACCTGCTAGTAGAACCGTCCATGGTACGCTCTGTGTGAAACCACAAATATTGTCTTGGCACATGACTCCTGACCACCAGGTGGCCTCACTTACAAAAGTAAATTGTCCAAACCTGACAACTGCAAACGAAACAATTTTGAAAGATTTTTGCACTAGGCAGGTTTTACTTCTACCCATGTTGACAGAATGTATAATGACAAGGCAAGGAGACTATAATATATTTTTTAAACGTGTGATAAATAATTAAACCTTTGGTACTGCAAGAACACATGCAGCTTAAGTTTTTAAACTGTAGCATTGTGAGGCAACCGCAAGCATTTAATAGCTGAAGTGTGGAGGGGGCAGCCTATTCCAATGACTTAATCTGAACTATCCACATCTTTTCTCCCCAGCACTCTACACACCATCACCACCACCACCCCCCCCCCCACCCCCCAACTCTAGTATTAATACTGCCCACCCCACACTTCACATCAGCTCTGATGAAGAGTCATCTAGACTCAATGTTAGCTTGCTCTCTCTCCATGGAGGCTGCCTGACCCGCTGTGATCTCCAAGCTTTTATTGTTTTCAGCACAGATTCCAGCATCTGCAGTAATTTGCTCCTACTGAGGTCATGATGTTCCATTGCAATGAAGTCAAAGAATAATCAAGCTCTCACTGTCTTATTATCAATCCAGGGCTTGGAAAAATAGGTTTGGTTTTATAATAGGTTATTTAAAAATAGGTTTTGTTCTTAAAAGGAATGACAATGAACCTTCAAATGGAGATGGGCAATGGAACAAAGGCCATTCTGAAGAGCTGCCCCAACGTCAATGGCCAAAGGGATTCAGACAATTGACTGCTGAAAGCCCCCTCAAAATGAAGAGTATCAAGAAGGGGCAAGCTCAGGGGCACAGAACTGTCCTCGTCAAGCAGTCCTTATAAGTCATGGAACTCTACAGGGAGCTGTCTTCTCCATAAGCAGGATGGACCAGACAAAGAGGAGGAAGTCCCAGGAGAGAATGTCTGGAGAGCACAATGCTTCCTTCACAACTTTAACAAGACTGACAAATTCTGCACCAACAGCCCTGTGTCCTCTGATGCCAGTGAACCATCCCCAATTATCACAGTGGTACACTCCCTTTTATCAGATTAACTTAATGTATCACATCTAAATTGCTGCTTCCTAACAAACTCAATAAACTAAGCAGAAAATTGCTTACAAGCGGTCATTCACCTATATTTAGGTAACCATGATCACAAGCCCACAAATGTAACAGGTTGTAATCTCCTGACTTTAAAACATTTTCTTCCCTGAAAAGCTGCGCATTTAGCTAACAATTCTCTGCTGGCATGTTAAAACCAACAATCAATTGGTGAGGGAGGAGACCAGAGGTCAGTCCTCATTTAGTTTTAGATTTTATTCACAGGGTGAGGCATTATACAGTTAGAAAACCTACAACTCACTGCCACTGTCATTAAGCACCTCATAATATGTATCTAATGACAGACAACTCCCTCATACATACTTAACCTTAATTTATGCAATTAACATTTCCACCCCTCTCCATCATGTGATCTGAAAGGTCTCAAGAAGGTTATTGGTAAAAAAAATTCACAAAGATTCCAGGACCAAGGGGTCACGGTTTAAGGATATGGAGTCAGCCATTTAGGACTGAGATGAGCTGAAATTTCTTCACCCAGAGAGTAATGAGCCTGTGGAATTATTTGTCTTACAAAGCAATTGAGGCAAAAAAAAAATGTTTTCCCAAGAAGTGTCACTATCCATACATTCACCATAGTACATAATCTCTTATGTCACAAACAGAAACAGAAATTGCTAGGGAAACTCAACGACATCCGTGGAGAGAAAACAGAGTTAATGTTTTGAGTCCAGTGACCCTTATTTTGAAGTAGAAACCTCCAAGTATCTGCGGTTCTTGGCATTATTTTAATCTATGATGTCAGTTTTGCAGTCTTTAGGATTGTTTCTTGCAGCTTAAAGCTGACATATACTGAGATATAGCCTCGGTGATTTGCTTTTTGAATTTCATGATTTCTACAGCAGAAGTCTACAACAGTTGAAGGAAAATTTTTTTTTTTGGCACCTGCCTTGAGCTTATAGGCCCTTGGTGATGCGACACCTTGAGTATTGTGTGCAGTTTTGGTTTCCTAGTCTGAGGAAGGACATTTTTGCTATGGAGGGAGTCCAGTGAAGTTTCACCAGACTGATTCCTGGGATGGCAGGACTGACATATGAGGAAAGACTGGATCGACTGGGCTTGGACACACTAGAATTTAGAAAAATGAGTGGGGGGGAATCTGACAGAAACATATAAAATCCTGACAGGACTAGACAGGCTGGATAGGGGAAGAATGTTCCTGATGTTGGAGAAGTCCAGAACTAGGGGTCACAGTCTAAGAATAAAGAGTAAGCCATTCAAGACTGAGATGAGTAAGAATTTCTTCACTCAGAGTTGTGAACTTGTGGAATTCGCTACCACAGAAACTGGGGCCAGTTTGTTAGATATACTCAAGAGGGAGCTGGATGTGGACCTTGCAGGGATCAAGGGGTATGGAGAGAAATCAGGATTTGGATACTGAAATTGCACGATCAGCCATGATCATATTGAATGGTGGTGCAGGCTCGAAGGGCCGAATGGCCTATTCCTGCACCTATTTTCTATGTCTATGTTTTAATCACCACACTGTTGCATTATCCCCTAAAGACATACTCTTAATAGTTATTTTTGAAATGGTTTCACCAGTTTCCCATTGTAAATGATACAATCATTCACACATACTCTCAGAAGCACTCATATATCCATGCAGATATGCATGGATGCTGACACACCACAAACATGTTCACAAACACATTCCCACATATAATAAAATCAGAGTCAATGATGTATAGGCTCTGAAAAATCAGTGAGGAAAGCCCCATATCTTCCATGGTTGAGCTGGGATTAATGCCCTGGTGTCTTCCGTTGTATAATGTCTCATGGGCATTACGTCAGAATACCTTTTAAGAGACATGCTCACAATATCATCATTATATCACAGGATGTGGCCTGAGAGTATAAAGATCTCATATGGCTCAGTGGCTAGCACTGCTGCCTCACAGCGCCAGGGACCCAGGTTCAATCCACCCTCGGGTAACTGTCTGTGTGGAGTTCTCCCCGTGTCTGCGTGGGTTTCCTCCGGGTGCTCCGCTTTCCTCCCGCAGTCCAAAGATGTGCAGGCTAGGTGGATTGGCCATGCTAAATTGCCGATAGTGTTCAGGGATGTGTAGCTTAGGGGAGGCGGTGGGTCTGGGTGGGATATTCTGAGGGTCAGTATGGACTTGTTGTGCTGAAGGGCATGCTTCCACAATGTAGGGAGTCTATGATGCACAACTGGAAGCATTCTGCTGTATTACAATCTAAGGTTTATGTATCATTTTCAGCTGTAATACACATCTGTTGGATTGTTCAATATCACAGTATCCATGCCCAGTTTTGTATGTTATGAGGGATAACAAACGTATTGCCACACCACGTAAAACACTAGGAGAAAAATCACACTGCAGTTTGCAGTGGTGGCTGTCTATATGTCTAACAATATCTTGGTGGTAGATATTCGGAAAACTAATCAAAAACCAACCAGACCAGGGTTTGGAGCATCAACAAGTTTAGCAATCAGCAACAGTTTCTATGATTATATATCTATAAATAAGGCATTAACCACCAACAAGGCCGAGCTAATTAAATTTTTCAAGATAAAATACATTCTGATGATTTCCTCAATTAAAAATAAAAATAAGCTGCAGTCCATGTTTGAGCTAACATACATTGCTGCACAATACCGAGAGCTGGGAGTCCTAAATGCTTTCTTTCTAACAGTTGATAACAAGAGTAACAATCTTCCATAACACCTGTGGAATCTCGTTCTTAAAGAAGGAGCATTTTTAATTTCCACTGATCAAGGGGTATTTTAAAATTTACACATAAAGGTACAACTCAATATTGTTAAGTTTGTATCAGGGATAACAGAAACTTCACTGTGGAATGGGGATCTATTGACATTCTTACTGATTTGCAACTGCTCAAACAATGCATGCTGTTCTCTTTTATAGATGAAGCAATAGATGATGCCAAAAATTGAGCTCTAAAAGTTTTGCTAGCCATTGGTAAGGCAAGATTTCACATAATTAACATGTTTGGTCAGAAAGATTCAGAAAAGGCCTAGAAAGTTCTCAAAGTAAGAATGAACTTCATGATTAACAGACTCCAATGCATGACAACAACCGCAATTATTAAGTCTCAAGATGCAGGACATTTTTCTTTAAAGACAGATGAAAATAGAAACATAGAAAATTGGAGTAGGAGTAGCCATTCAGACCTTTAAGACTGCTCCGTTGTTCATTATGATCATGACTGATCATCCAACTCAATAGCCTTTTCTCATTTCCTGCCCCCCCACCCCATATCCTGTGTCTCTTTAGCCCTAAGCGATACATCCAACTCCTCGAAACCATGTAAGAAGCAGGTAGACAACTCCCAAACATGTGTGTTGGGCAGACATTGTGAGCTAGAAATCCACATTCATTACTTGGGGAGCAGTAAAGGTTTCTGAATTATGTAAGCAGTCCAGATGATCATATAAAGTGATTATTGATCACCGTGCTACATTGCAAATTAACTGAAGACAGCTCAGATGAATGTACAGTACACCAATCAGGCACAAAGAGAGGAAGAAAGAACACTCTAATTTCCAGTTTTCTGGCCGTAGCTGCTTCCTCCTCACCACGAATGTGCAATCCCTCCATGTGACTGTCCCTCATCAAGGGGATCTGAAGGCTCTCTACTTCTTCCTTGAAAAGAGGCCAGAACAGTTCCTATCCACTGCCACCGTCCTCCACTGGCTGACGTCGTCCTCGCATTGAGCAACTTTTCCTTTAATTTATCTTCCTTTCTCCAAGTTCAAAGGTACGCCAGTTGTCCCCGTCTTTTTGTGGGGTATGTATTTCCTGTTCTACTTGGGCCCCCACCTACAACTCTTACTCCAACGATGATGACTATGTGGTGATTTTGAGTGACAACAAGAAGCAACAAGACAATCAAGTTATCAAACGAGTACAATTGAGAGTTATTCATAGTGTAGAGGTGACAAAAAACATCAGAAGAATCACAAATGTAACTGGGAACAGACTGAACTCGGAGAAAAATGCATAATTAATAGGAGAAGAGCAAGGAGGTGATGTTGAACTTGGATAAGGTATTGGTTCAGTCTCAGCTCAGTATTGTGTCCAGTTCTGGGTGCCACATTTTTTGTGAGGGATTTGGATGGAGTACAGAAAAAAATCACAAGCATGTTTCAAGATGAGGAACACCAATTATGAAGATAAATTGGATAAATTAGGACTGTTCTCCTTGGAGAAGAGAAGGTTTTGTGGAACTTTGATAGTGGCATTTATAGTGGCTGCCATCCATATCTTCTAAATGTGTGGGTGCTTTAAGGGTTTACATGGTCTGTTGTATGCAAGGATAGCTACCTCGTGGTCTAATGAGAAGCTTCTTGCTGAGTGAAAAGGATATTGTTTATTGCCATGCTACAACTATTTATAACAATGCGGTCTACTGTTTCACAAAGACAGTAGAATGGGAGGAATTAGCCCTTGATCCATATCCCACAAAATTGTACTTTACTCTCCCATCAGCTCCTCATCTCACAATCACAAAAGATTGGTAATGCTTACTGCACCATTTCAGATCCATATAGAATAATTCCAAATATTGAGTGGCCTGGAGACAACAGATTGAGAGAAACTGTTCCAACATGTGAAAAAACTGAGAATGAGGAGATTCAAAGTAATTGGCAGAAGAAGCAAGTGCTACATGAGAAAAATCTTTTTCACACAATGAATGTTTCAGGTCTGGAATGTTCTCCTTATTTGAGTAGAAATGATCATCCAATATCCCTTGAATGCCACAACTGAACTTGTCTCCAGCACATTTCCAGGCCAGTGCATACGATACCCTAACTATTTGCTATGTGAAAAGTTTTTTTTTTGCAAATCATCTTTGCTTCTATTGCAAATCACTTTAAATCTATGCCATCTTGTTCATGCTCTCTTAACCAAGTGGAAACAGTTTCTCCTGCCTACTTTATCTAGCCTCTTCATCATTTTGAAACTCTATTAGATTTCCTCTTATCTTTCTTCTCTCCAAGGAGAACAGTCACAATCTTTCAGTTCTACCCACTTAAGTTTCTCTTCCCTGGAACCATTCATGTAAATCATTTGTGCAGATTCTTCAATGTGCAATTGGCCCATTACCAACCCTTGGGGAACTCTACCCTGAAAAATATCCATTTGCCATTACTCCCTGTTTCCTATGACTCAGCAAATTTTGTATCTACGTTGCCACTATTCCTATTGCTCAAAGAGTTATAACTTTTACACAAATCCATTGTGTGACACTGTGTCAACCATCTTTTAGAAGTCCGTGTACAACACATCAACAGCATTAACCTCGTCAACCCCTCATGAAAAATTCCAACAAGTTATTTAAACATGACTTTCCCTTAAGAAATCCATGTCTGGCCTCCTTAATTAACCCAGATTTGTCTATATTAATTCCATCCTGAGTGATTGTTTCTAGAAGCTTCCCTAGCACAGAAGTTAAACAGACTGATCTACAATTGCTAGGCTTATCGTTACACCATTTCTTTTTAATCCAGGGCATAATGTTTGCAATCCTCCAGTCATCTAGCACTTCCCCTGAGTCTATGGAAGACTGAAAAATGATGGTTAGTGTGTCCATAATTTCCACTCTCATTTCCTTCAATATACTGCTCTTCGTAGAAGGGCTGTATTCGAAAATTACGTTTATATTCTCAGCACTGATCTCCAAGAGCTAGCCTTGTTTGCCAATTTCATGATGCTGGGTTGAATGTGTAACATGATTACAAATCTATTGGAGTCCAAATGAAGAACTTCATTCCATAGAACCGACAAATAATATTTTCCATATTGTTTAAGAATGTGGTTCCTTTGAAATATCTTTGTTCAGTGTTTCAGACAGGATCCTGCCTAACCTGTAAGTTGTCTGTACCTAAATAACAACAAAGCTATTCCTCTATAAAGGAGACTTACTGTCCCTTACTTAAAGTAGAGCGCCAAGTCTGTTGCAATGATTGCAACATCCATCAGATGGAAGACATGCTCATATTGCCTCCTGTTCAAGTTCTGGAAAATGTTCAAACTCTGAAAGAGAGTAAACAAGACAAATTTGAGTTAGTTATCCAGTGATAAGGTAAATGAGTACTGCACCTGTCATTTTCCACAGGAAATATCTGCTATTAGTCACGTTGAGAGGGAGGAGAATGAATTGGCAGTCAGACTAAAGATCTTCTTCCCAGGTACGGCTGGAGGATTATAGTACAAAACTTTATTTCTTAACACTTTCCCAAGCCTCTCATGTATAATCGGTTAGGGTTAAGCATAGTCATGATGTAGGTGACACCATTGCCATAGTAACCCACAGCTGTTTAATTGACTTGAGGTAGGATTTCCACTCTTCAGCAGCAGGACATGCATCCTCAGAAAGCTACTGGCCAGTCAGAGGCTAGTACCTTTCCAGTTTAGCAATTGTGGGACAGAGGGTAGCATCCCTGCCTCTGAGCCAGAGGCTCCGGATTCAAGTTGGACTCCAGAACTTGACGGCCAAGGAGGGTAGGTTCATTACATGGCCAAATGGATTGGTTATCACTTTGAACGTCCGACTGATATGCCTATGGCAAGTGGTGCCAGGGGAAGTCACCTGCAGATCAGCCAGAACCATGTGGTTGCTGCAGTGCAGCAACTTTCCCATGTTAAAAGACTCCATGTGCATGTTCTGGCCACAGCCTGGGTTCCAGGTCATACGGCCTTCTTGCTGCCAGCGAAACTGCCAGAAGACAGAAATTTAACTCTACTGAATAGCACTGCGCGCCTGCAGGAAGGTGAACTGTGCTGAAGTCTGGCAAGTCTACTGAGGGATTGAGAAATGGTGTAGAAAGATTGGGCAAGGGGGGGAATCTGAGGGATGGGGATTACACTTTGGGGTAGGGGAAGAACCCCTATTTGCCTCCGACCAGCCTGCTCAGTGAATGAGGCTCCTAGGCTACCCTCTTGGCACATGCCTCTCCCACTAAATCTCAGCAGCCATAGGATGAGGTCATTAAATGACCACTTCAGGCTCCAAGTAACTCTAGGGCTGGCTTCCTAACACACCTTACACCCCTCCACCACCCCCTCAGGTAAAAGAACGACAGAGACAAGGACAAATGAGTGGGCAGCAAGCAGAGGGTCACTGACTTTTCTGTGCTCCTCCAAACCTGTCAGCAGGGGACCCATGAATCCAACCCAATGTGCAGTGTGGAAAATCTCAAAGACAGAAAGTAACTGTGTGACGGACATAAAGTGTGATTTTTAAGTAGCAGCTAATCCAACACGTCTTAGGTTATGATATTGCGTAAGCCATTTAAGACTGTGTTAATCAATTTTTCTGCCGTAATTATGGAAGATTAAAACAATGCCCAGAAATTTCTAAACAGGAACTAATATCACAATTCAATGCAAAGTTAACAGTTTCCAATGTAAAAACGCTCCTCAGTGCCCAATAAGTTCAATTGGCTGCTTTTATGCCAACCACACCTTATACCTTCAATGATACCTAACACTTCATTTAAATCCCAGATGATATCATCACACACGTCCTGTATTTTTGCTTATTTAAGGGAGGGACCTGCCTCCTCACTGAAGCAGTTTAAAGCAGGCAGCAGAAATTTAAAAATTCACTGCGATATCACTGGATCAGTGTTCTGCCTCAAATGCTGCCAGGCAGGCAGTCAGTCTTCTCTTCCCATGTAAGCCTCTTCATAAAAATTTAAGCTTTACATGACAGGATTAAACGTCCTGATTTTCTGCAGCATCTCCATTAATCTATTCAACATTATGCCTCCCTGCATCATGAACTTTGACTCTTTGCCTTGGATGCCTAGATCCAGTGAGGCTGTGATTGGTATCATTATAAAGCTCTGTAGTACATTCAGAAGCAAACACAGAGCCCAACTGGCATCTCATCCACTGGTACATTCTCAGAACAGCTCTGGAGATGAGTAACACCCAAAACAGTGCCTTTTGGTTCTGATCCTGACCAAATGTCGTGCATATTTAGGTTATCTTTAAAATTCTGGAATTAGAATTAGAATCACAGTGTAGAAACAGGCCCTTTGGCCCAACAAGTCCACACTGACCTTGAAGCATCCCACCCATACCCAAACCCACCCAATCCACACATTCCTGAACACTATGGGCAATTTAGCATGGCCAATCCACCTACCCTGCACATCTTTGGACTGTGGGAGGAAACTGGAACACCCAGAGGAAACTGGAACACCCAGAGGAAACCCACACAGACACAGGGAGAACGTGCAAACTCCACACAGACAGTCGCCCGAGGCTGGAATTGAACCCGGGTCCCTGGTGCTGTGAGGTAGCAGTGCTAACTACTGTGCCACTGTTTCTATCTCACATTTCCTGAATTATGTTTTTATTCCTTTATTTATTTACATATACAAATGCTGTAGTTTTAAAATATATCTTCAGTTCCCTCAGTTGCTGAGTGTTTTTTTTTTCTCCTGTTGGTGTTAAGGAAGTGAAATTGATTTCACAATCATCAGAAAATAAAGCCAGTAGGGTGTGACAGGAGCTGCCAATGGGCATGACCCATTTTTTTTTCCTGATCAACCAGTTCAGAGATGTCTTTATACACTTCTGGAGCAGGTAGAACTTGAACCTGGGCCTCCTGGCTCCCAGGCAGGGACACTGCTAGTGCATCATGAAAACCCTCATCACTCACTTTGTGCAACTTGTATTTCAATTCCCAGCCTGTACCAGCTATGTTCTGTTCTATTTCATCCTCAGCTTTATTCCCGGCTCAAGTCTTTTATTGTGTTTATCAGTCTGACAAAGTGCTGTCATTAATATGACTGCTTCATCTAATTGTGGCAGCCCAAGTGATTTAGAGTCTCACCTCATCAGCAAGTAAAGTCTTGCTAAACTCCAAGTGATGACGTTCCATAATTGAAGAGCCATGTAGTTTTGCCAGTGGGTGCTGGGACCTGATAATAGATAAATTGACAATTACAAATGCTTGTTGCCTAAGATAACAGTAAATTTTCAGTGTGGGACGTACTGCACTCTGTTAAGTAGTTAAAACACAAATTGATGGAAAATAAAAGAGATAAAAGTGCATAAGTTTATGCCTGTCTAGCTTTGCTGTAAATTCTTCTACACCATCAAAAAACATCAATCATAGAATAGCTCCACTACAGAGAGAGGCCACTCAATCTATCAGCTTCTCTGATTGGCTTTCTGAAAGAATAACTCAGTAAACCCATTTTCCTGCCCTTTCTCCACAGCCCTGAACATCCAATTCCCTTCTGAAGTCCCAAGCGTATCTGCTGCTAACAATAACAATGAACAAAAAGGAAAGAAAATTTTCACTTTTACTTGTCAAGGCCTTGCTAAGCATGCACTCAGTGGTTTGATTGATCCATGAATGATTATGTTACTCCGGTAATGGAACGATGTACACTGAACAGAATTACTTAAGCCTGTGTGCGAAGCTAGAGAGATAAAAAAAAACAGAAGATTCCAGAAAGACCTATGGTTCAGAACTGAAAACTTGGGTTGGATTTCCATGGGGTTGGAGAAATTCCATGGAGATGTGAAAGTGACAGACAGGCCGTGATTCCAGGATTTCCAATTCTTACCTTTGCATGTTAAGGTGGTGGACTGGTTTGGGCCAGAAACCCACACCATGTGCCCTCGACTTGGCCAGGTCAAATGTGGGCATAAAATGGTCCTCTGCAATTTCCATGGAGTTGGACCAGCTTTTAAGAGATATATGGTTTACAGCACCTCAGAAGTGACATGAACCATAGACTGGAACAGGAAGCTTTTGAAAGGTAATTTCCAGTTCAATGATCCCCCGATACACATGTCAAATCCCCCATAGCCCATGCTTTTTTATGCGCTCTGTGCAAAGCTATTGCACTTCTGTGTTCGTTTACTCATTATGGGCTCTGTCTAGAACCAATAAACTCTTTGGTAAGGTGACAATAAAATGTATTTTAAAAAAATACTTTAAAAAGTTATTCATCCTTAAAAGAAATGCCTTCACAAGCCAATAAAAATGTCAATTATCCATGCCCTTTAATAACCAGCAGCAAAAACTGTAAATATTTGAAACTTAATTGTCATGTGTAAATAGACATTGTGAATTTGACAGAATAGACAGAAGGCGCGTGCTGTCAACCAAGCACGGCTTTCCCTGAGATGCAACTGCATCTATACTCAAGCATCTATCTGAACTTGCAGCCAACAAAGCACATTGAGGCTTAACATCCTGGAGGGCTGCAGAGGTAGCAGAGATGGCAGAGATATGGAGAGTGAGGCTATGAAAGGATTTGAATACAAGGATAATAATTTTAAAACCAAGCTGGTAATTAACCCAGAGCCAATATAAGCCAGCGAGCACAGGCACAACTGGCAAACATGACTCCATGCAATCTAAGTCATAGGCAGCAGAAAGTTGGATTACATCAAGCTTACAGCGGGAAAAATGCACAAGGCAAGACAGGGATATGTTTATCAGCTGAAATAGGGTGAAGTCAGATGCTATTACAGTGGTGAAAAGAACTTGTTTTAATGATGCTCTAAATCTGAAATCAGAAGTTCCATCTCAGGATTGTTCAACATCAAGATGTGAATATTCTGGATTAATCTTATATTGTTACAGGACAGGAGTTGAGAAAGAACCAGCTTGATTTTAAATTTATTATCCTTGTATTCAAACCCCTCTGTAGCTTCACCCTCCATATCTCTGCCATCTCTTCTACCTCTGCAGCCCTCCGGGATGTTGAGCCTCACTGTGTTGTGTTGGTTGAGACTTCAGGCATCTATTCAAGACACAAGTCAGCAGGTCATTTGCATTCCTTTAACCCAGTCCTCTCTCCCAAAAGAGGAAAACATGGTCACAACCACAAGACCACAACTGCACCTGCGGCCGAATCCAAATATTGAAACCTAGTCAAGTGCACCAAACAGAATGCTCAGCTGGGCAGAAATGGATGTAGAGGATGATCAGATTGTAAATGGGTTGGCCACACTGAAGAAAATTTGAATAATTCTGGAGTCATAGCTGCTGCTACTTCCAAATACAAGCACTTGTATTAAAAACTGAAGTAGACCATTTGGTCCTTCAAGGCTGCTTTGCCATTCCATAAGATCATGGCTAATCTGTTTGCGTTCTGAATTCCACATTCTCATTTAACTACTATTTTGGCCAATTCATCGCTAGTTTTATCCTGTCATCATACTGGGACAAGGAGCAACCCAGAGACACCCACTTGACAGCAACCCCCTTCATTAAGGTAGCTGTGACATGCCTAGTTCATGCACTTAATTTGCCTTCAGATGGGTGCTATGGCAAACCACACACTCAAATATGTTGTAACTTATGAATGTAAACAGGTGTTCATATTTTGTTTTTGCAGATGAAAATATGTCCCATAAATTTACAGTGTGTTGAATAAAGATTTCTCATTATATGTGTGTCTATCTTAATATTATTGCAAAATTATTTCATACATGAATGCGTTTATATATTTAGATAGATGTATAATTTGATTCAATAAATGTGAAATAGATTTTCTTTTGTGTTTAATATTTGTATGATTATAAGGCAAAATGATATTTTTCAAATGCACAAATCTGATGTAAATAAATAAGGCATGTTAAAAGGTATTGGGCCTAATAAGCTTATGACTGTATTAATACAGACTCCGATACTGATTTTTTACTGGAATCACTAACAATCGGGAGAAAAAATGTATTCTTTTGATATCTTTGAACTGTAAAACATATACAGAATTATCAGCAAGTGCCTACATTGCCTGTTAGATTCCTGTCACAATACAGCACAAAGCCCACTCACTGGCATAAATTCTCCTGGTGTGACCATCTTTAATTCTGTCTAGTTTCAGATTTTCCCATTTTTTTTTACCATATGTAAACACATTTCTAATGAACATTCATAACAAGTGATAAAATGAGCTAAAGCCAAAACCAAGTAGATTGTTTCAGAGATAGTAGGAACTGCAGATGCTGGAGAATCTGAGATAGCAAGGTGTAGAGCTGGATGAACACAGCAGGCCAAGCTGCGTGTAGAGCTGGATGAACACAGCAGGCCAAGCAGCATTTTTTTTTGGTCCAGGCCTGAAACGTCAGCCTTCCTGCTCCTCTGATGCTGCTTGGCCTGCTGTGTTCATCCAGTTCTACACCTTGCTACCAAGTAGATTGAACAAGTTGACAGGAACAGAAAATTAAGCATGTGTTATGGTTTTAAACAAAAATGCTAACACCTTCCATATTTTCCACCAATTTTTTTGTTTGGAGACGTGTTCTCTTATTTACCAATGACAATCGACTTTAAGAAGGATGACTGCTGTTTATTAAGAACTTACTTCATTTGGTACAAGTTGTTGGTCCCTCTATGATCAATATCATGACAAAGCCCTGCAGTGACCATGGCCATTGTTTCCAGGTCGGTGTAATAGCGTTTCAATTTCCCTGTCTGTAAATGCAAAGAAAGGTGTGGGATCAACTGCAATTGATCAGAACATGGCAGGTGACTGGCTTTATAAATACATTTTATATCCTGCCTCCAATTGGAACAGTGCAATTTACTTATTTATTGTTTTAAAATAGTAATCATATTTGAAGGAACCACACAGCAGCAGTTGTATTTCATCGCTCTTACAAATGGCATGATGGATTTCACTTATGCTGTAGTTTCACATATGATCCCTTTGGGATTCTCAGAATTCAGGCTATTTGCATTAACACGGTACCAGTATTGTGCGGTTGGTTTGTTTGCAATGTTGGAAATCCACCAACAATTGGCTTTTTATGTGGGAAAATACCTCAAAGATGCTTCATAGAAGCCTAATTTGTGTTATGAGTGCCAAGGTCCTGGAAAGGTCATATTCCTGAACCAATAGTCAAGAGGATACAAAACCATAAATACTGCAGAATGCTGGAAATCTGCAACAAAAGCAGAAAATGCTGGAAGTAATCAGCAGTTCAGTTATCCTGAAATGGAGAGAGAAACAGTTTACATGGCACAGCATGGTAGTTCAGGGGTTAGCACTGATGTCTCAGAGTGCCAGGGACCCAGGTTCGATTTCAGCCTCAGTCTGTGTGGAGTTTGCACATTCTCCAATGTTTGCATGGGTTTCCTCCTACAGTCCAAAGATGTGCAGTTTAAGTGGACAGGCCATGCTAAATTGCCCATAGTATGTAGGCTAGGTGGGTTAGCCATGGGAAATACATGGTAGTGGGGTGGGTTTGAGTGGGATAATCTTCAGAGGGTTGGTATGGACTCGATGGGCTGAATGGCCTGCTTCTGCACTGTAGGGATTCTATGATCAATTTCAGGAAAATGAGAGTCATCAACCTAAAATGTTAACTCTGCTTCTTTCTCCACAGATGCTGCCATATCTACTCAGCATTTGCAGCATGTTCTATTTTTATTTATAATTAGTTAGATGAACAGATCAGAGATGCTGAGTTCAAATCCAGCAATGGAAATCTGTGCATCTGACTTCAATTTTAAAACATTTAGCTATTGCATTAGTAAAAACCACCATGAAAAAGTTGGATCATTGCAAAATACCAACATTTATGATAATAAGAGGAAGTTTCACTCCTTTGGCTCCAGTAATTTTGAATATGTTTGTCCTCATTCACTGGATATATTTTACACGTAGATTGACCCTGAATTTCTGTTGTTGAAAACAATGTTGAAACAAGAATGAGGGGAAGAAGAAAGAAGAGATTGAATTCGAAATAGGGACCCCAGTGCAATTCAATTATACATGTCAGCATACCATTTAACAGACAAAAAGGAAAAAGGATCTATAATATTAAAGCAAATTTACAAAGCCAAAACTTTGAGGATAATCTTACCATCAAAAGAGTGAACATTGTCTGCCCAACATTGAATCCATGGCGCCAGTTGTGGTATGTAATTTTTCGGTATCCTTTACTTAAGGAATATATAAATCTGACTAGCACCTGTCAAATAGCCACAGAATATTCAGTTAGTGCAAGAGATGGAATGTGACATTCAATAAAATGTTATTTCTTGTTTTAAAAAAAACATTATCAAAGGGTAAAGGGTGCACTGGAGGTCTTGCCTTAAAATCCTTCCACCCTCCTCCCTCCAATAATCATATGACAACCAGAGACCAGGCGCTACACATCAGCTCAGTGGAATATTTGGAGTAAATGACAATTTTACACATGTCTGGTCACCTCTGAATTCTAGATTGAGAACCATTCAGCCCAAGAGTAAAGGCATCACTGTCCACCTGAACCTAAAATATCCAATTTGTCCCATACCCTTCTCTTCCCAAACCAACCTCCCAAGTGTAGCCCTTCAAGAATTGATTCAATTCCTTTTTCAATGTTACAGTTGGATCTGCTTGCACGAGCATTGTGCATTCCAGATCACAACAAACAACTCTCTGCCTAAAATGAGTTTACATCTCCCCTCTGGTTCATTTTGTAACTTCCTTCCATTTGTAGCCTCTGGTTACCAACCCTCTTGCCAGATTCCAAAGGTTCTGAAGAGGAATCCTATCAATTTGAAACATTACAGTGTGGTGCTGGAGGAACACAGCAGGCCAGGCAGCACCAGAGGAGCGGGAAAGTTGACGTTTCGGGTTGGGCCTATTTTCTGTAGAAGGGTCCCGACCCGAAACGTCAACTTTCCTGCTCCTCTGATGCTGCCTGGTCTGTTGTGTTCCTTCAGCTCCACACTGTGTTATCTCTGACTCTGGCATCTGCAGTTCTTACTATCTCTGAATCTGAAACATTAACTCTGTTTCTCTCTCCACAGATGCTGCCAGACCTGCTGAGTTTTTTTGTTTTTACTCTCACCAGATTCTCCTGATTAACTGTATCAAAACCTCCCATTGTTTTGATCATCTGTATTAGATCTCCCCTTCACCTTACTTCTGCTGAGGAGCACTATCCCAGTTTCCCTGTCTCTCCATTTAAATGTCCCTCATGCTTGACATCATTCTAGCGAGCTCCTCTTTGCAGCCTCTTCAAAGTCTTGACATCCTTCCCATATTTTGAGTGAAACACTTCTGTTTTCTAGCGGGTTTCCATTTATATCCCAATGGTTTTATTATTCCTATTCTCTTATGGTTTCCATATCCTATGCATAGCAAATCCTAATTTGGTAGGTAGTGTACTTGCGGCTATTTTCCCCTTTACAACATGCAATTCTGACTGAAATCATCTGTCATGTCAACCCAGCTTTAAGGTCCCTGGCTAACCTGGGCACAATATTAACTGCCTGAGCCAAACGGTATACTTGTAAATATATATGAAATAATATAAAACTTTAGAGTCTGAGATGACAGGCTCAGATTTCTCGGTGTTGGACAATTCCCGTAGCCTGCACTAGAAGTGAGAGCCGTCCTCTCTTCAGCAGACTGCCTTGACCCAGCCTCGACTAGTGGCAATCATTTCTGAAGCTGCTTCTCCAAGGAGACAGTGTGTTAAGAGCCAGATCCGTAGACCCTAGAGGTCAGGAGGAAGCGCCAACAGCACCATTGTTGCCAGGACCAGCTGTTAGTCCCAGTGAATGCCCTTTGTGGGGCCATGAAGCACCCCCTCATGCCAGTCCCCTTTCTGGGCATTGCTGTCAGTCCAGTAGGGTTCACCGAGCAGTTACTCAACATGGCAGTGGACCCTCCCAACGTAGGCAAAATGGCGGCAGGGCTGAAGGGGGCTGGAGCCCTTATTTTGTCACTTAAGGCAGCTCATATGGCTAACAATTGTGCCACCAAAATTACTTTTGTTGGTGACATGCCACCCCACCCATGGCAGGAAATTGTTGGCCTCTCCTCCCGACGTCTTCCACATCAATTTGTCAGCTCTCACATTTACCAGCCTGGACAATGTAAGCTCGTTTTCCTCTTAACAAATAAGGTTGAGGAAGAAGACATTGGGATTGGTTTCAGTTTATTCAACAGATCACAGAAAATCATTCTGGTATCTCTGGAGGTACCTCTAGTCACCTGGCATCTGATACCTACTGCTAGGGTTTCTCCTATTGTATCGAAACTTACCTCACGTGGAATGTGGAATTTGTCCACAACTTTCAACTCGTAATACATCTGGATGCTGCATCTCACAAGATCCATCTCCGTGTGTTCCAAGTCACTAAAGCTGAACTCATAAAGTTGAAAGTCTGAAGCACGTGGGAGTTGCTCACTCTGGAAAATAAGATGATGCCAAACTGTTCAATCTTGACAGTGTTGGTATGTGTACAAGAGGAACATTTGACTGCAGCACCACCATACTAATATTCTTAAAATGAAAAAGTGGACTTCCAAAGGACTTTTTACAGTGTTACTTCAAATGATATGTTTCAAACTTATGCAAACAGTAACATTTTCATCACAACAGCTTGAATTTCATTCGTATAAAAATCTACAATCTTACTGATACATACAACATTCCTAAAAAAATCCTCACAGTCATTAAATATTAATTCTACATTTTGCACAGTCACTAAATAACAAAGATAAATTGAGGGATCTCCACAATTAAATTTATTTTGCACCCGAATCTAATTAATTTATCATCTATCTCCTCACTAAATATCAAACTTGTTCTGAGAGAAAACTTCATATTATTATTTTAACAATGCTGCTGAAAATTAATGAAAAACTTATTGCTGAGGAACTTTATCAACAATAACTAAAGTGCAGAAGGGCATGTTCTTTAATGTTTTCCATGGCCCTGGCCTCAACCCCATGGAGAGCTGTGTGAGGTAGTGTGTAGGTGTTTAGTGAGAAGGCGGGAGAGAGAGTGAGACAGGATAAGTTACCTATTAACTGGTTCAGAAATGCTGCAGAATGAACACGTGGCTTGTGCATGTATATGTATACGCTCATCAACTTAGGGTTTTCAGTACTAACAAATTACTTAACATTTATTTGTATGCAGGTAAAATATAGACCAAGTAAGGGTGGCAGATTTCCTTCCCAAAATGACATTAGTGAACCAGATGGGTCTTTCCTGACAATCAGCAATGAATTCATGGTCATCATTAGACTCTTAATTCCAGATATTTATTGAATTGAAATTCTACCATCTGCCGTGGTAGGATTTAAACCCAGGTCCCCAGACCATTACCTGGGTCTCTGGATTAACAGTCCAGCAATAATACCACTAGGCCATTGCTTACCCTTAGAATGGGTAGAAATAATTTCACTTGTCTTACCAATATTTCCTGTAATTCCTCCTCTTCACATTCATTGGGTTCTTTCCCAAAAACTTCCCTTGTTGGCTTGAAGCAAAGAGAGATTTATTAATAACTCAAGTCTGCAAACTCTGATAAACATTGACAAAACAATTGACTAGAACTCATTATTGCAGTTTTTCTTTGCCATCTCCTTGTGCAGTTATAACAGAATTGTGATGATGGCTCAACTTGTTTAAGATTGGGCATTGCTTGTATCAAAGATGGCGAAACTCTCTGTTTCTCCAATCTAGTTAGTGTAATCCACTTATATAATGCAATTCCACACTTAAGCAACTTTATTTATCAGCCTGTAGGGTAGCAGTTCAATATTGATTTCACTGGCATACAATTTCAATGAATGAAGAAAATCTAATCTGAGTGAACACAAGAAAATAATATCTCTGGGCAATGCCAGTTAATATACCACTCCACTGGCCTCTGCCACACCTATGCACTTCTGTTTCACTTAGTGAAATTCTTTTACCTGGAAGCCCATGGCAGGTGTGACACTATTCAGAGCAGAGTCAAATAGATGCTTGATAGACAATAGAGTCAAGGAGAGAGGGAATGGTGCTGGATGCAAACAGGGAAATGGAGTTGAGACCACATCCATATCAGCCATGTTCTTATTGAATGGCAGAGCAGGCTTGAAGGGCTAAATGGCCTTTTCCTACTACTCAATCCTATGCTTCTATGTTTACTTAACCCTCATGTACACAGTAAGCCTTCTCTTTAATGCTATTATTATTACTATCTGTTTCAGTCAGTCAGGCATTGAGTCTAACACTCTCATCACCCTATATGTAAAGACATTCCTCCTAAACTTTTTACTGTTCATTTGTTAGCAGCTATTTTAGATTCAATACCACACGCCCACTCCCCCAACAAAACCTCTTACTCTGAATTTACGTACTGATGGAAACAGTTTTTCCATACCCACCCTATTGAACATCTTCAACTTCGATAAGATAACTAGCAGGCTGTCTTTTAGCCTCTTTTCTCAAAGCAAAGAGCAAATCATTTTCCCATTCCTTCCCACCAACCCCACCCACCAGTGCTGAATCTTTCCTGATTAATGCATTCTGTTAACGCTGATAACATCCCTTGCAAATGTGCATTTTTGCACATTTCCAAGTCTTTACTATTAACATATTTATATAAATACTAAAGGGGCTCAAAGTACTCCAAGGGTGAAGTAAGTAAAGGTCCATGATATTGAATATTACCCCATTGTTTATGTACTCTAAACCTCTAGTGACGAACGTCAGCACTTTTTTTTGCAATATTCATGACTTTACAATTTGCTAATTTTAATTAGTTATCTGTAATCTCAATTTTTTGCTTTCACCCATTTTTTTTTATTCATTCATTTATGGGATGTGGGTGTCAGTGGCTGGGCCAGTATTTATTGTCCATCCCTAGTTGCCCTTGAGAAGGTGGTGGTGAACTGCCTTCTTGAACCACTGCAGTCCACCCACTGTGGGTTGACCCACAATGCCGTTTGAGAGAGAATTCCCGGATTTCTACCCAGTGACAATGAAGTCAGGATGGTGAGTGGCTTGGAAGTGGTGGTGTTCCCATATATCTGCTGCTCTTGTCCTTCTGGATGGAGGTAGTCGTGAGTTTGGAAGGTGCTGGCTAATGATCTTTGATGAATTTCTGCAGTGCATCTTGTAGATAGTACACATTGCTGCTACTGAGTGCTGGGGGTAGAGGGAGTGAATGCTTACGGATGTAGTGTCAATCAAGTGGGTCACTTTGTCCTGGATGGTGTCAAGCTTCTTGAGTGCTGTTGCAGCTGCACTCATCCATGCAAATGTGGAGTATTCCATCACACAGACAGGTTTTAGGGAGACAGGAAATATGTTACTGCAGTATTCCTTGCTTTTGACCTGCTCTTGTAGCCATTGTGTTTACATAGTGAGCCCAGTTGAGTTTCTGGTCAGTGGTAACCCCCAGGAGGTTGACAGTGAAGGTTCAGTTTTGGTAACACCATTGAATGTGAAGGGGCAGTGATGGTCATAGCCTGACATTTCTGTGGCACAAATGTTACTTGCCACTTGTCAGCCCAAGCCTGGATATTATCCAGACCTTGTTTCATTTGGACATGGACTGCTTCACCATACGAGGAGTTGCCAATAGGGCTGAACATTTTGCAATCATCAGAGAACATCCCCTCTTCTGACCTTATGATGGAGGGAAGGTCATTGATGAAGCAGCTGAAGATGGTTGGGCCGAGGACAATAATGCAAGGAGTATAGCTTCCTCATACCACATACTATTGAGAACTACTTCAGGCATAGCAATACTGCATTTCATACGCCGTTCATATACCCATCTGTGAACACATGTATTTCGGTATTTTGGTACCACCTTATTAACCAAATCACCAATTGTAAGGATAGTGTAATTGAGCACTTGAACTGATTAGAATGAGCCAGAGTGCCTTGTTGAAACATATCATTGTCTGAGTATTTCTAATCTGATGAAACCCAAAATTAAATAGACAAGGGCAGATGTATGAATGTTCTTGAAGTGAACTTGCAGGAGGCATTTGATTAAATTTTGTGCAGATATTACTGTAACAGATTAGAATTCATAGATTGTACGTAGTCTTTTGACATGGATTGGAAATTGATTGGAAAGGGATGATTGCAATTGGGAATAAAGGGTTGTACCTTCATTTGGCAGGATGTAACTAGTTTGTGTTCCCTAGGCATCTGTTCAGTGTGTCACAATATTTATTCATGACTTTCCAGGAAAGAAGAGCATTATGTTCAAATTTGTAGGTTACACTATGTTAACAGGTATAATAAATAGTGCCTCTCAATGTGACAGTACTATGGCTTTAGAAGGTATATTTTGTCTTTTTTTTTGGAAGAGAGTTTTTAAGGCAGAGGTAATGAACAGTCTACACAGAGCCACTAGAGTAAAAAGTTTGTGAGGCCTTGGGATTTTTTTAAAGTTGGAACAATAGATGCAGCCTGAATGGGTGTGGTCATGCTCTTACAGAACTAGGACTTTAGTTTTTCAGTTTTTCAGTAGCAGTTGTTGCTGGGGTCTCAGCAGGGTTTGGAAGCAGTAGTAAATCTCTCCCTGCTTCATTCTTTCTGAGTTTTCCCTTGATGTTTTTCGTCCTGGGTTGGTTGCATGTGAATGTTTTTTCTGAACTTGCCTTTCCAAGGATGTGTTTATGGGATGTTTCTATATTGAAACAGTTACTGTTTAGTAGTAAAATAATCTATTATTCTGTTAAGTTTTCTAACAGAGTTACAGCTAAACCAATTCTTTTCTTTATTTTTTCTTTTGTTGTATTTTAACTACAGCATATGAATAAAGTGTGTTTTGCTTAATGTTGAGTAGTTTGACCAATCAAGTTGCATCTGGAATACATTTACCTTTAAAATAAGAAAAAGTTAGGGTCTAGACTACTTTCTGAACATATTTTGAGGAGGTTTGGTCTGGTCCACATAAGGAAATCATTTAAAGCTAGTGTAATGGTCTCTTATTTCAAAAGGGTGGAACTTATAATTCAGTGTATACTACCTTAGTCAGCTCCTATGTGGAATATTGTGTTCAACTCTGGGCACTGTACTTCAAGAAGTTTTACACTCCCTTGCAAAATGTGCCATGCAATTTCAGTAGAACAAATTTGGATAGGGTTGCATAAATGTGACTTGCATTCCATTCAGTTTGGAAGGATGAAGAGGTTTCAAAATGCTCAAAATCATAAAAAGGTATAGGGGCAGTTACAGGGATAGGATTTGCTCTGAAGGGGCAATCAACAGCAGATGATCTTAAAATTAGAACTAAGTCAATTAGGAAGGAAATCAGAAAGTAGTTATCCATGTAAAGAGCTGAAAAAAATTTGCGATTTATTCTGTGGATGCTGGGACAGCTGGAAATGTCAACATTAAGATCTATAGAATTTTAAGTTAAGAGCGGAAAGAGGTTAGGAGCTCATGAAGAAGAACAGAGTTAAAGTGCAGATTAGCCACAAGCGAATTAAATGGCAGAGCAAGTTCATGGGGTTCTCACGGCCTACTCTTTATGTCCCTCATCTGGTAGCAACAACATGTCACTAATTCCCATGATCCAATTATTTATGCATACAGTGCAGAACAATGATTTCAGAACTGATTCTCTCAGTGACTGATTCCTAAAAGGTTGTTTACTTCACATTTGGGATTTGCTGTTGCATTATGACTTTGAAATGGTTTAACTGAGATAATCTGGTTTATTGATGACAGACATGGTATAATGAGGGAATAATTCAGACATCATTGGGACACAGAGATGTGCACCTAGGTGGATTAGCCAAGGAAAATGCAGTGCTACAGGGACGGGGTGGGGGGGGGGTGGTTGTGGGTCTGGGTGGGATGCTCTTCGGAGGGTCGGTATGGGCTCAATGGGCTGAATGTTCTGTCCACACAATCAGGATTCTATGATTCACTGCTCACACAAATGACTCAGAAAAATCAGTAGGATCATAAGGTTGAATCAATCACTCAAACTAATTGCTAGACATTTCTTTATCTTATTTAACATATATATTAAATCAGTAAACCTGTGCATTGATACAATGAGCATGGCATAGATCATATAATGTTACCAGGTATTGCAGCTAAATAGACCCGATTGTGTCATCAGGAAAATCATTTGCGTTTTCCTCATATCAGTTTTTGTAGCAGTTAAGTACAGATGAGTAAATGTTAGACAGCATATTGCTCATTATTTAAATGCTACCTTAGGGTAGATAATATTTTAGACGTGTTATGAAGTAAAAAGAATCTAAAGTCCCAAATTGACTTCTTTCCATTGCTGAAAATGTTAGTATGTGACAGAGATGCTATTAACTGCCCAGGATCAATCACATCTAAAATGGCTCGGAGGCAACAAGCACTTGTAAAACAGTTCGAAGCTGACAATTGGAACTAGAATGAGAATGCTGCTTTGAAATAAATTTGATGATTAACGTGCTACTTAAAGGGACAGATTGCCAGATTCTATTGCCAGTCTAAACTCTTACACTGAATGTAAACATAGGATAAATAGAGAACCCCAGATAAGGCCTATAATTCTGTAGCCACAGTTCCCTGTTTCACACATAGGTGCAGCTAACATTATATAGCATGTAAACAATTGGTCTTTTATTAAATGAGACTTTTTAGAATAGGTATAGAAATACTTTTAGGAATTGATATGCAAAGCATAAGACCACTTCAGCAGAGAAACTGTTTTCTTTCTCTCTCTGAAAATACACATATATAGGCCCTGGAAGGATCTGGGTCACTTGGGTCAGGCTTTCATATTTACATAATCAGTTGGTAGGATGGCACTCGGTATGGCCTATTACTTATGTAAGTTACTAGAAAGAGCCAGGAAATGTTCCTTGCCAAATGTAACCTGATCTAGGAGATGATCATGCTGGCATCTGGATAGTTGTCCAGTATCCATGGGATAGAGGAGTTCAACTAAGGGACTGAGTAGGTAAATTCCCAGCCCCAAGAAAGAGTATTAACAAGTGCTCAGATACAAGGGGCGGTTTGTTCTCCTTAGTTCGGCTGTTTTTGTCACACAACTGCTTTCTTCAACTGGAAGATGGATCAGGAAAGATAGACGAAAACACAGAAGGAGACTCTGTCATGAGCTGTATACCTTTCCTATCTGATTGGTTAATATATCATATCTAAACAGCTACTTTATACTAAACTTAATAAAGTACCTTAAAATCGTTGACTGTCTTGTTTTTAGGCAACTGTGTGCTGAAAACTCCAGATTTTCCAAACAGGAATACTTTGCCCTTTATCTAGAAATGGCAGGTAACCAGATACAACGTTTGCATTCTGGATACAATAGTGTACTATTGCTCTATACGGCTGTTGTCTTCTATTGTTTTGTTTTCCAGAAGACAGCATCCGTTTGAACTGTAAGTATTCATAGCATGTAAAACCAAGGCACCAAATGGATGATATAACTCTATAAAGAGTCATAGAGTCATAGAAATCATCCATTTGGTGCCTTGGTTTTACATGCTATGAATACGTAACAGGTCAAATGGATGCTGTCTTCTGAAAAACAAATCATTTGACAAACTATTTCATTTGGGTGCACTGAAAATATCTATTCCCAAACAACCTGTTCAGAGATGTTATTACATAACTCTGGAACAAGTGGGACTTGAAGTTGGGTCTTCTGGTTCAAAGGTAGGGATGTTAGCACTGCACCACAAGAGCCCTCTAACCCTCTATGCTGATCTAAAGCAGAAAGAACTGGAATACTACCTGGCAACAGTGCAGGACATTAGATGTGATGATTATTTTGAAAGCCTCTATGTTGCCACCCACGGCCAAAGGATATTTTATACCTTTATTTGAAATAATTGAATCAGGCACAGACATACCAATATATTTTGAATTTCATCCTTGTTGCATGTTACATGATATAGCACCATTCCCTGAGCAATATCCTTCCGGTATTCGAGCTTGTTCATTTTATCGTATGTATCCGTATTGAGAACAGACCAGCCTAGGAACTGGGTCAGGGACTGAAACAAGAGACAAAAGTAAATGAGAGTCTGGCCTGTGCACGCTGCATAGACAATATTTCAATTAGACTGGCTGAATAAGATTAAAAGTCACAGAGTGCAAGGCTTACTTCCATAAGAACCTCATCCATTTCATCGAAAGGCTTCCCATCTTTCCTGTTGTAAAATGTAGCAATGCCGACAATTTCTTCTTTCTTGTTTACAATTGGCATCGAAAGGACATTTTTGATTGTCCATCCAAAACTATCCAAGGGTTCAGTCTGAATGTGGGGAATAAATACATTTCTAAAGGCATCAGAATTGTCACAAACGTACAATAATAGACGCTGATCCCCCTCTCCTATGTGTGACAGTTACAGTTCAATCACAATCCTGCATCAAAATGAGTAATAATCTGAAAATACAGGTGAGTAGAGATCAGGTATAGAGTTTCAACTGTGCCATGATAGACTGCTGCTCAGAGGGGGTTCTTGTGCAGTGGTAGTATCCCTTCCTCTGAGACAGGAGGTCTGGATTCAAGTCCTACTTGCTCCAGAGGTGTGTTATGACATCTCTGAATAGATTGATTAGAAAATATCTGCACCATTGCATTGGTGCATAGGAGAGCAAAATATAGAAACATATAAAATAGGAGGAGACCATTCAGCCGGTTGAGCCTGCTCAACCATTCAACATGATCATGATCAGTTCAGTGCCCACTTTCTCCCCACACCCTTTGATGTCTTTAGCCCTAATCCTAATTCCTTCTTGAAAACATTCAATGTTTTAGCCTCACTGACTTTCTGCGGCAGAGAATTCCACAGGCTCATCATTCTCTGGGTGCAGACGTTTCTCCTCATACCAGTCCTAAATGGCCTAACCTGTATCCTTAGACTGTGACGCCTGGTTCTGCAGATATCGGAGGTAACAAGTAAAAGTAACAGAAAAAGTCTATTCGATCCAACAAGCCCGTTTCTAGTTGTTAGATTAGGTTCACCTTCCCAATTTCTCAGTAAACCTTTCAAGTGTGTGTGAATATGACACAGCAGTAATGTAACTGGATTGGTAATCCAATGGTACAGTCTAATTCCTTGGTTTCAAATTCCACACCGGCAGCAGGTGAGATTTAAATTATGTCAATAAATGGTGACATTGTCTTCATATAAATAATTTTGGATGAGAATTTAGGAGACATGATTAGTAAGTTTATGGATGACACTAAAATTAGTGGTATAGTGGACAGTGAGGAAGGTTATCTAAGAGTACAAAGAGATCTTGGTCAATTGGGTCATACCACAGAATCTGCACAGTGTGGAAACAGGCCATTTGGCCCAACAAGTCCACACTGACTCTCCGAACAGCATCCCACCCAGACCCATCTCCCTACCCTATCCCTGTAACCCAGCAGAAACTCACTCAGAAATGGGGAAAAACATGCAAACTCCACACAGACAGTTGCCTGAGGTTGGAATTGAAACCGAGTCAATGGGCTGAGGTGAGGAAGAGGGAGTTTAATTTTGATAAATGCAATGTATTGCATTTTCATAAAACAAAGTTGGGCAGGACTTATACAACTTATGGCAGGGCCCTGGATAGTGTTGTAGAACGAACAGACATGGGGTTCAGGTAGATAATTCTTTGAAATTTGGATCACATGTAGACAGGCTGGTTAAGAAAGCGTTTAGCACGCTTGTCTTCATTGTTCAGACATTTGAGTATAGGAGTTGGGGTGTCATGTTGAGGTTGTAACGGATGTCGGTGAGGCCTCTTCTGGAGTACTCTGTGCAGTTCTGGTTGCCCTGCTATTGGAAGGATATTATTAAATTGGAGAAGGTTCAGAAAGATTTACCAGGATGTTGCCGGGAATGGAAGTTGTGAGTAATAAGGATAGGCTGGATAGGCTGAAACTTTTTTTATTAGAGTGTAGGAGGTTGAGGGGTGACTTTATACAGGTTTAGAAAATCATGACAACATAGATAAGGTGAATAACAAGAGTCTTTTCTCTAGGGTGGGGGAGTTCAAAGCTTGGGGACATATTTTTAAGGTGAGGGAGAAAGATTTAAAAAGGACATGATGGGCAACTTTTTTACACAGAGAGCGGTTTGTATGTGGAATGAATTGCCAGAAGAAGGGGTGGATGCAGGTACAGTTACAATGCTTAAAAGACATTTGGATAAGTATATGAATATGAAATATTTGAAGGGATATGAACCCAATGCAGGAAAGTGGAACTAATTTGCTTTGGAAACATGGTCAGCATGGACTAGTTAGACAGAAGGGTCTGTTTTCATGCTGTATGACTTTATGACTCAATAATGAAATTATCCTTGATTGTTGTCAAAAACAAAAATAGTTTTCTATCGTCCTTTAGGGAAGGAAATCTGTCATTGTTACCCAGCCCGGCCTACAAGAGCATGCAGACCCACAGTAATGTGGTTGATTCTTAACTGCCCCCTCAAATGGCCTAAAAGCAAATGGTGGCTGCAGTAAAGAATAAATGTTAACAAACTTTGCAAATGCTGCAAATTCTGTCTCATTGAAAGATGAACAAATTCTCTCTTCTTCCCACTTACTGCTCCCTTCCTGAAGGACAAGGATGGGCAAATTATTGTGATTCACTGTGTGCTACTGATATGGCCATGTTAAGCCCTTGATGGGAAATGTTACCATAATAAATGGTCGCTGGGCAGTGATTGTTTTGCTGCCTGTTGGGCATATATTGGGTGGTAATGTCTCAATGACAGGGTGGAATGTGTTATTGCCCATTATCACTGTGTCTAAATTTGGAAACCCAGCCACTCCTGTCCAAAGCACCTGCCTTATTTGCAGTCTTTCTGCCAAAGTGCAACGGGGGTCTGTTCAGTTATTGAAACCTCCCAATGCCTCAGATACATGCAAATAGTCCCTAATATGAGCATTATTAAGAAATGCCTTTAGATTAGTCGTAACTATTGAGAAAGTCAAACCCCAATGTTTGTTTTCTTCTCCATGAGCAAAGACTGTGTAGATCTGAATTGCTTTAGTAAGTGTGTATGTACGTAAAGATTTTCTTTTTTATGAATAAAGTCTAATTTAACAAAAAATGTGAAATATGGGGTCCTATGATGCACATTGGTCCACAATTACCACTTTAGAACTGAACATGTTGGTGTGTACACTTCATTCCAGACAAAGATCAAGATGAACCGGAAGCTGTTATCTCTGTATCCTGTGCAGCCATTAAGTACAGAAGTGCTACAGCAGGCCTAACAAAACAATTTTGACTGTTGCTTTTTCAAAAACTCCTGCCAGTGGATTTGCTCTCTTCCCTTCTCCTATCTTCCCTTCCCCTATCTTTCCTTCCCCATTTCACTCCCCAGCTCCCAACCCATCACTGCCCTGCCTTTCCTGAGCTGGGCAGCCCCCAGGATGCCTATAACTGCAGTGGCTCAGAAAAGTGAGTGTTTCTATCCAGAGACCTCTGGAAGGGTAGTGGAGGGTCTTTATTGCGAAGAAACACCCCCCAGGTAGACTAGCCTGCCATCAGCATTACTGGCCAGGCAGTCAGCAAATTCCGTTGCTGTCCTACTCCACTTCCCTTCACCCCAGTCCTCTCTGCACATCCTCCCTCCACTGTGTTCTGATCAAGTTCACTTCCCTTCGTCCAGGTCCTCTCTGCACCTTCTCACTCTACTCTGTTCTGTTCCACCTACCTTCCTTCCAATAAACTCTGTACCTCCTCATTCCACACAGTTTTGTCACTTTGCTCCATCCCCAGTGTTGTTCTCAGCTGATAGTGTGCCCCATCCACATTCTTTACACGTGACAGAGACACCTGCATTCCCCATGCAGATGGCCTAAAGGCCCTCCGCTTCTTCCTGTCCCGCAGGCCCGACCAGTACCCCTCCACCGACACCCTCATCCGCTTAGCCGAACTCGTCCTCACCCTCAACAACTTCTCTTTCAATTCCTCCCACTTCCTACGGACAAAGGGGGTGGCCATGGGTATCCGCATGGGCCCAAGCTATGCATGTCTCTTTGTAGGTTACGTGGAACAATCCCTCTTCTGAAGCTACACTGGTCCTATCCCCCACCTCTTCCTTTGTTACATTGATGACTGTATTGGCACCGCCTTGTGCTCCCACGAGGAGCTCAAACAGTTCATCCACTTCACTAACACCTTCCACACCAACCTTAAGTTCACCTGGACCATCTCCGATACCACTCTCTCCTTCCTGGACCCCTCTGTTTCCATCTCTGGCAACCACCTGGAAACCGATATCCATTTCAAGCCTACCGACTCCCACAGATACCTAGAATACACCTCCTCTCACCCACCTTCCTGCAAAAATGCCATCCCCTATTCCCAATTCTTTCGCCTCCACCGCATCTGCTCCCGAGATAAGGCATTCCACTCCCGTACATCCCAGATGTCCTCGTTTTTCAAGGACCGCAACTTCCCCTCCGCAGTGGTCGAGAACGCCCTCAACCGTGTCTCCCGCATTTCCCGCAACTCATTCCTCACACCCCATCCACGCAATAACAACCAAAAAAGAATCCCCCTCGTCCTCACGTACCACACCACCAACCTCCGGATCCAAC